ACGCACACACATACACACACACATCTACGTACACACATACATCTACACACACGCATACACACACACACACATGCATATACACATCTACGCTAACACACATCTACACACACATACGCACACACATTAAAAACGTACGCAAGCAAAGCGTAATACACGAATGCGCAGAAATCAACGCATTATATTCTTTTCACAATCAATAGGTGGCATCAGTTTGAGATTGTTGTAGTAACTAAATCAGCATCTCAACGTCATCATTCTCATCATCATAATTAGCGGTGCATCATAATCATACTCATCGCAATTAACTTCATCACAATTACCCTCGTCATACATAATCACCCCACCATCACCACCATGATCATAACCACCTTCTCCATCACCTCCACAACCACCACCATCATTATCAAACCGCAATGTCATTAATGCCAAGGCGAAGGTCTCCTTTACAACTGCCATCATCATTCTCAAATCACAAGGTCGTTCTTCGCCTTCGACTCGAACAGTCTCTGCGATTTCCTGGTCTACCTGGTACACCACCTGGGCAGCCTGGAGATATGCGAGATTGGGATGAAGGTCATTGGAGTGCAAGTGTACGGCTGTAGGTGTCGTTCGTTTTCAAATCCATCTCTTTAATCCTCTTTTATCCATCCTTTTATCCATATTCATCATCCATTTGGTTATGCATCCATCTTTGTTTCATCCATTTTTCAACCATCTATCTGTTTTTTATTTATTTATTTTTTTGTTTTATTTGTTTTTTATTCATTTTCAATTCAAGCCTTTTTCTTTTTTAGTTCTACTCTGTTTAAATGACCTCATGATGTTTGTTTGTTTGTTTGTTTGATAATGGCAGACTGTTCCCTCATAAAAAGTGACATGGGTGTGTGTGTGTCTTAATTACATTTTTTATTCAAGGAATTAAAAAATTGTTTTGAAAATTTTCTTTTGTTATTTAAATACAAATTGTAAGGAAGGAGAAGAACTTAAGGACATATCAAAGGGTTGTGGATGGACGCAAATAAAACATTTTTACGCCGCCATCTTTCACTTTTTTTTGTTTGTTGTTTCAAATGTTGTTGTGTCGTCGTCTCTGTGGTCATTTTTGTAGTCGTCTGTGTAGTCGCCATCGTCATCAGTTTTCAACACCATAATCATTATCTTCCTCATTTTCACCAACATCATCATCATCATCAACGTCAATCATAAATAATATCATCATCATTTTCATCATCATCTATTTTGTTGTCGTCCTCGTCGTCGTCGTCATCATCAGTGCTAGGTGGCGAGTCATTTTTTTCTAAAGTTCCCATTACGCAGATTTGCAAAATAGCAAAGGTTAGCTGATAAGTTATGAAGGTTGATTGATTGGTTTGCTAGTTTAAGATACAGTTTGCTTGGTTGATTGTTTGGTTGGTTGGGTGATTGGAGGATTGATTAGTTGGTTGATTTGCTAGCTTGTTAGTTTTGAAAATTGATTGATTTTTAGGGTCTATAGTTGTTTGAATGTTAATATGGATTGATTGATTGTATAGTTGTGGTTGTATGTTTTTCATTGAATTATGTATTGAAAATCCATCTATTCATCCATCTATTCATCCTTAAATCAATCCATCCATCCATCCATCCATCCATCCATCCATCCATCCATCCATCCATCCATCCATCCATCCATCCATCCATCCATCCATCCATCCATCCATCCATCCATCCATCCATCCATCCATCCATCCATCCATCCATCCATCCATCCATCCATCCATCCATCCATCCATCCATCCATCCATCCATCCATCCATCCATCCATCCATCCATCCATCCATCCATCCATCCATCCATCCATCCATCCATCCATCCATCCATCCATCCATCCATCCATCCATCCATCCATCCATCCATCCATCCATCCTTCTCTCCTCAGAGATATCCACTTTCATTTCGGATACAGTACGCCACAGCCAGAGTTTTTGTGTCAACGAAGAAAAATGGTAACTGTGTTTGTTTATCACTTTTGTCATCGTCATCATCATCTTCATAATCATTATCATCATCGTCGTCATCATCGCCATTATCATCATTATCATCATCGTCGTCGTCATCGTCATCTTCATCATCGTCATCATCATCGACATCGCCAGAGAACATGAGCCAGACGCTGAACGATCTAAAGTGCAGTGAGATTTTGATGCACATGCTGGATAACTTCGCGGGCGACCTGCCCATCATCACTCTCGTCCTCCAGTCCATGTGGCCTATGCTAATCTTTGGTCTGTCTTTCATTTTTTTCTAATTTTTTAAAAAAATATTATTTTATATTTAATATATATATATATATATTTATTACAATTATTATTATATTTAATTTATTAGTATATTTAATACATTGTTATATATTAAATATATCATTTATTTTTATACACATAAGATGTCAGTGAGCCCTAAAAAAAAAAAATAAAATCGCAAATAAATAAGAACCATACAACAACCCTTGTAAGTAACGCATTTCATACGTTATATATATATATATATATACATATATATACATATATATACATATATATATATATATATACATATATATACATATATATATATATGTATATATATGTATAACATATAACGTATATGATAGACGGATCTTCTTGCTTTCGAACCAGGTTACTGCAAAGCAGGACCAGGCGTCTCTAACTATCAAGCCGTTCGTTGCTGATGTCTAGCTGGCTCTTTAGCAATAGTTGCTATGGTTGTACGCAAGCGCGTTTCAAACGATTACTTTGAATTATTCCAACCACCACAATCACCAGCCACACAATCCTAACAGCCACAACCACCGCAACCACAAACGCCTCCGCAACTACAACTACCACCACCACCACCACAAACAGACGCAAACGTGCAGGACTTTTACGAGCAAGGAGCATGCAGTAAGGTGGCCTCCATCATTAAGATGCACTACGATCAAGCCGAAGTCTTTGAAGCCGCTTCCATGGTTGTGTTCGGTCTGTCGCTATCTGGTTCGTTGATTTGAAAAATATTATTTCAATAAGAATACTTAGAAATAAATGATTATACTAAAAAATAAATAATAATACTAAGAAATGAATAATAATAATAATTAGTAATAAACAAGTAATTGCACTTAGAAATAGATAATAATACTAACAAATAAAAAGTAAACTGATATAAAATTGTATGTATCATTAAATGAACTCACGTATGCGTATTCCCAGCACTGGGATATTTTTTTGATGTATGTTCGACCTTCACTATTCAGTGATGCGGAGACTAACTTGGGCCTGATAATTTACAGTTCATTAATATCATTGCGCTGCGTTGCGTATCAAACTTGCCTAGAGACGAGACGAAGGAATTTGTTTAGATTAGTTGGGTGTCGACGAATGCCTGATTTCATTCAGAACGCGTCAGCTGCTTTAAACTTTAATTATGTCATATTTCGGTTTTGATGAGATGAGAAAGTTATAACGAAAATGATACTACGTCATTTTTTTGTTGAAATTTGATTTGTTTTGAATTGTTTGAAAAGTTACTTTGAAAATTCTGTGTTATTATCATCACAAATCACTCTACCTGCCACTAATGCCATAACCACCACGACGACAACAGCCGCAACAACCACTACAACCACAACAGCAGCAACAACAACAGCAGCAACAACAACAACCACATCATCAACAACAACCACATTAACAACAACAAAACGATACAACACCCTTCCTAACAAATCTCTCGATTATTACGACACAACCATGCAAGAGGATTATTTTCTTGCTCGGCTAATGTTTTTGTCACATTCAGGCAACTGTTAATTTATGAACGCACACGCGTGTACGCTCCAGCGTCTATGTCAGTGAGAACGAAGACTATCATTGCATCAAGCAGTAATTTTCAAATGCATTATACATTTAATTACACATCTTTCTTATTTGTTTAGAGTTCAAAGTTCAAAAATGGTTTTTTTTTTTTTTATTTTTTGTTGTAAATTGACGTTCAAATAATGAAATTATCTCACATTTAACTTCCTCTCTACATATGACCAATTGGCAAACGCATATAAAATCATATCTTAATATACATCGTCATAATAATAAATGCTCAAATCTTACAAGGCGCAAGTGCTAACAAACGCGCACAAAAGCAAGTACAAAATTACAACTACAATCCAATTAACCAACCCATCATATTCTCCGTAGCCAAATTCTTGAATAAAAAAGGGGTTCTCTATGATATCTTTTCCCAAGTTATAAAACAAACATATAAACAGTGATTATATACACATATCAGTGATGACGTAAGTACTCAAAAAATGTACTTAGGTATAAGTACTAAGTACTCAGTGGTAAAAGTACTTAAGTATAAGTACTAAGAACCAAAACAAATTGTATACTTGATACTTATAAGTACTAAGTATAAGTACTAAGTACAAGAGTACCTAAGTACATACCATGGTTAATTTGAAATATTTATAAATTTATTAAACTCAGAAATCAACTCATTATTTACAGTAATTTATTTACATCAATAAAAGAGTTTGTTCTTTTTGAGTAAAAGTAAAGTTTCAAATGATTCATCACTTAAACGATTTCTTTTAGGAGTGAGAATCATTCCAGCCTGGCTAAATATACGTTCCACAGGTGCTGATGATGGCACAGTGGTATTGTACTTCAAAAACACTTGTGCGACAGCAGGATACCTAAGGAACAATAATATAGTTGTTAACCGAAATAGCAAATTATTAATTTGTTATTAATACTTGAGAATAAAAATGTATTAGAAAATCAAGCATATACATATTATACATATATAATATATTACAGAAAAATATTGATTACCTTTTGAGTTGTTCCATATCATATGAAGGATCACTAAGATATTGCAGTCCCTCAACTTTTTCATTCGATCGTGATTCGGAACTTGGTTCATGGAATCCATAAAAATCTGCACTAGCACAACCTCTAGTATTTCTGTCTTCATAAACTGTTGAAGAATTGCTCATTCTGACCACTTCTGCTAGAAACAAGTCTTCAACTTGCTCACGAACTGATGATTCTATCCACCTGATTTTAAAAAACGGATGGCTGATCGAAGCCACAACAAATGCTCTCATCTTGCTGTTGCTTGAAATATCTTTAAAGTCAATTATATCGCCAAAGCGTTTATCCATGTCACATATATTTTGTGTGTGTATTCATAGCATGCATGTGTATGTATGTGCCCTTATGAGTGTATGCTGTAACAGTAACGATAATTTGCGATCTCATCTCAACGAGAAGCAATTTGACAGTTTGAATTATGTTCTTTCCGATATATTTAAGTTAAAATATTAGTGTTAATATAAATTGTAGAATATTTTGTAACGAAATTCTATGAAAATTTTACATACCTTACAATTTTATATTCTTCATTCAGTTAATAAAAGAATCAGGTTGGCTAGTTTAAGAAATATATACTGAGTGACAAGATGGTTTAGTGATAAAGTATCAAAGGTTTTGAATACAAAAGACTTCTGTCCATGTAGAAAATCTCAGAACTTACGCACGGAAACTCTATAAATCATAATTATTTTATATTCTCCTTTATATAAAAACAGATAGAAAATATTTTTTCATTTCTTTTATCTGAAACGAATGCCGTTGACGTTGGAGCATGTTGACGATGTACGTTATTGCCTAAAATATACGGGCCATATTTGGTCAAGCTTGTTTTTACATCCGTAACATCATCATCATCATCGACGTCATCGTCATCATCATCATCATCATTGGCAACATCATCGTCATCGTCATCATCGTCGTTGTTGACATCATTATTTAGATTCGAATGATTGCTGAATTAAACAAATCGAATGCGATCTATCTGCCCTCATGCTTCCAACACTTTCATTACATCTTCATCATCTACAATATCTCTGTCATCATCTTTATCATCTCCATCATCATCTTCATCATCACTATTATCATCTTCATCATCACTATTATCATCTTCATCATCACTATCATTATCTATATAGCTTTCCTCATCATTTTTATTTTTTTGTCATTTTCATTATGGTCACCGAGTTAGCTCAGTCAATAGAAGTGCCATGCCTCGCGCTGCAGTTACGCGATGGCCTGGTTCGAATACCGTCTGTCCGAAACTCAAAGGCCATCATAGGCGTATGATGCGGTGCTTGTGCGTGTTTACATAATGTGTGTGTGTGTGCGTCGTGTGGTGGTGTGGATAGTGTACAGTCTTTGTGGCACGATGCTTTAATAACAATTACGGATAAACATGTTGGCAGTTTGGCGTTGAGAGAGCTGCAACACAAAAAATTTAAATAAATGAAAAATCATTTCAATGGCATCTACATTTTTGTCGTAACCACAATTTACACATTATCCTCATACTTTTCTTCGTCAACGTTAATCTTACCAACATCATCATTCACCATCACAATCATCGTCGTCGTCAACAACCTCATCATCATCATTGAAACATCATCGTCATCGTAACGACACGTCTCACATGCAGATTTGAATGTTGTTGAACTGAACAAATTCAACACGATCTATCTACTGCTGGTCGGCCTGCACGAGCACCAGAATGAACCGAGCATCATCATCAACACCTGCAATGCCATTTCATCGATGGTTGACGCTGAAGGTTATGATAATGATATGGATGATGATGGTGATGATGATAATGATGATTATGGTAATGACGGCGACCACGACGACGACGACGATGATGATGAGGAGGATGATGATGATGATGATGATGATAGTAATAATAATGATGACGACGTTGATGACGAGTTTCGTGCTACTTTTTTTATACAAGCTGGATGTAGTTAATTATGATGCTAATCATACTGATGCTAATGATTACCTTCATGATTTAAACTGGCGGGCCTGAATAAAAAAACGTGTTAATGAGTGTAGGATTGTAATGAAGATGATAACATTAATATTTATAATAATAATAATTATTATTATAATTATAGTAATAATAAAGTATAATATTTACAGTGTTGATGAAGATGGTGATGATACATCTATTATGGTGATGATGCTATTGATGATGTTAACGAAGACGACGACGACGATGATACTAATGACGTTGCTATTGATAATGATGATTTTGATGATGATGATGATGATGATTATATTTGTGTCTCCGTACGATGGAAGCAGTATTATGATTCGTTGATGCAAATGATTAAAATTGTGATGTAATGATGATGGTGATGACGACGATGTTTTGAAATGTTCCGTGCAACCATCAATCCATGAATAAATTATACATTTACCCATTCATTTTTCCTTTCTTCCTTTTTTCATTCATTCATTCATTCGTTTGTTTGTTCATTCAATCTTTCATTCGTTCGTTCATTCATTCATTTATTTCTCAAAAATGAATGACGGAATGATTGATAGCATATAAATTAGTCGATCGATCACCAAATATTGATTGATTTTTCAAATTTATCAAACCATCCATTTAAACGTAGCACATCAAATTATATTATCTCCAGCAAACCTTTTTTAATGGGCATCCACTTTAAACAAATTTTTCAACCGATCAATTTTATTTATGATCTGTTCGTTTGTTTGCCTATTTGTTTGTTCATTCGTTTGTTTGTTTGCACGCTTGTTTGTTTGTTCATCCATTCAATTGTTCATTTATTTATTTTCATCTTTAGTTGCATATTAGCAGATAGTTATATGTTTTATGGTTCATCAGTTTGTTCGCAGGTTCATATATTCATTCATTTGTTTGTTGTTTGTTCGTTCGTTCACTCGTTCATCTATTAATTCCCAGAGGAGTGCGCTTACGGTATGACGCAGAAGATAACTGATGACGTCACGGCAATTCCCTTCCTAGGTATCTCATGGATCTTACTCACTCTTTCTTTGCTTCTTATTTTTTATGTGTTAATATTTGTATGCGTGTTGGCCACCACTATGCATATACAACATACGTGCCTGTGTCTTTGTAACTGTATGTATGGCTAATGTATGTATGTTTGAATGTATGTCGCATCTATGTATATATGAATGAATACACGATTCTATGCATGCATGCAAATATTTATTTGTGATGGTTTATTTTGACCCCAGGCAGTTTGATGCGGATGCACATAGAGAAATACGAGGTGGTAAAGCATTTGCAAGGTCTTCAAGAGTCTTACTAAGCTGGGTTCGTCTATGAATGGATGGAAAGATGGGTGGGTGGATGAATGATCGGCTGGATGGTTGGTTGGTTTGATGGATAGATGGATTGATATATGAATAAACGAAAGAGTAGATGGATGACTAGATGAGTGAATAAATAAATGGTTGGTTTGACGTGTGAACAGATCAATTTACGAAAAAATTAAAACTTATTTGAAAGGTGTAAGAATGAGTGAACGAGTATATATAATAATTAAATAAAAGACAAAAAAAAACGATTGAATGAGCAAATGAACGAATACCAACAGATGATATTGTATCGGAGATGAAATGTTCTGAGGTCTATGAAGATGTCAATGACATTAAGTATGCCTACCTTGATTTCTGGGTATGACGTCATCATCCACATCTTCATTGTCGCTCGCTACTGATGTTGACGTCATCCATTTTCATCGCCATTGCCAAATTCATTATTATGAACGCAGTCGCCATTGTATCATCACCAACATCATCACCAACATCATCACCAACATCATCACCAACATCATCACCAACATCATCACACCAACATCATCACCAACATCATCACCAACATCATCACCAACATCATCACCAAATCATCACCAACATCATTCCCAACATCATCACCAACATCATCACCAACATCATCACCAACATCATCACCAACATCATCACCAACATCATCACACCAAATCATCACCAACATCATCCCCAACATCATCACCAACATCATCACCAACATCATCACCAACATCATCACACCAACATCATCACCAACATCATCACCAACATCATCACCAACATTATCACCATTATCTTTTTCTTTCTCCACCTCCTAATCACCATTTTCATCACCACCAGCACCATCATCATCGTCACCATCTTAACTTTCATCCTTACGTTAAAATATTTCCCAATATTTGCCGTTTTGACGCGTTTTGCAGGACTTGAAACAAATGTGTGACGTCATCTTGGATCGTATAAACAATCTCAAGCCTCTGGTTTCTTGATGGTGATGACGACGACGACGTCATCGAATGATGTTGACGATGATAATGATGATGAAGAGGGCGTGATGGTGATGGTGATATCATCGTGATCGTGGTGATAACACGATGGTGGTGACATGGTTAGGATGATGATGATGATGACGTGTTGGTGATGATGATGACGTGATTAGGACGATGATGATGATGAGGAGGAAGAGGATGGCATGGTGATGATGATGACGTGATGGTGATGATAACGACGCGATTAGGACGATGATGATGACGAGGAGGAGGGTGGTATGGTGATGACGACGAGGAGGAGGGTGGTATGGTGATGATGACGAGGAGGAGGGTGGTATGGTGATGATGACGACGCGATGGTGTCGAGCGTGACGATGAAAAAAATGAGGAACAGTAGATGATGATATTTTATTTATAGAATGAAGAGAATGGAAATGATGCGGTTAAATTAACTACGATGATGATGATGATGGTGATGAAATGAGAATAATGATGATGATGATAACGTTGAAATTAAGGTTTACAAGAATGTGATAATGATAATAATAAAAATAAAATAGTATTAATAACATTATTCATAATTATTCATAATAATACTAATAATAATAATGGTGTGATAATGTTTACGTTTTGTAATTAACTTGGTTGCGAGTGAAGATGACGTCAATGATGACGTTTTGTTTGAAACAAAAATCATTTTTTTGTTTTTCAAAAATATTTATTTCATTAAAGTTTCAAACTACGCAAACAATCTATTGACATTTTCAGACGCACATCAGACTCAAACTAAATAATGGAGAAAAAAATTTAATAAAAGTTAAAAGGAGAAATGAAAATGTCTTCAAAGGTCAATAAAAAAAACTGAAAACTAACTTTATTTCTGAACGACGTGTAATTCAAATTTGAAAGAGAGAGAGAAAGTGAGAGAGAAAAAGAGAGAGAGTGAGAGAGAGAAAACTTCAGCAGTACCAGCAACAACTCAAAAAATAAAATTAAAAAATGCCTCTCACGGCACATCAGCGTGAATAATATAACAGAAAGTTCGCTAAAAAAAACTTTTGCCAAAAACACAATTCTTCAAAACAATTGCATCGTCACAAACAAAAATACATTCGTGACTTTGTATGTTTATTGTTGTAACTCTCTGTCTGTGTATGCATGTTTCTATAATGTGGGTGTATGTGTGTTTGTGTACGTGTGTGTATTGTGTATGTGTGTATATTGTGTATGTGTGTGTATTGTGTATGTGTGTGTGTATTGAGAGTGTATTGTGTGTATGTGTGTAGTGTTTGTATGGCGAATTATTTTAATATATTTACAAACACATACAAATAAAATGCGTATGTGTATGGTGTAGTATGTAACAATAAATAGTATTTATGAGAATTTGTACAAGGATTTATGTTTATGTGTGAATGTATTTCAGTATTCTTTGTAATCGTATACACACATGTACGTTCTATACACACATTCATTTGTATTTGTATGTGAGTGTATGCGTAGGTATGCATGTGCACGTATTTCAGCGTTTTGAGGGATTGCTTGACAAATTCAATAAGTGAATCTGACATGAAGCTATTGTAGTTAAAAGTATGACGACGATGACGATGATGATGATGATGGTGATGACGACAAAGACGATGATGTTGTTGTTGGTGCTGATGAGGAGGGTGGTTTTGGTGTAATGATGATGACGACGGTCCTAATGTAATGTTGATCTTAATGTGATGATGATGATGATGGTGTTGCTGATGATGGTTTTAATGTGATGATGATGATGATGATATATATATTATGACGTTAAACTAATGACAAGAAATATGAATGAGGAAATTGTTAAAACAAATTAATAATAATAATAATAATAATAAATATATAAAATTATAACAATAATATCAAAAATTAACGTTCCAACAAAAAATTCCAGAGGTTAGAGTTTAAAGTTTATCATCCCCATCATCAACAACAACATCATCACGAACGATCATAACGTTATCATTCTTACTGCTGTGACAAACATCACCACTACAACTCGCAACAACAACATCATCGTCATCTTTATCGTCGTCATCATCGATTCGTTCCATGACGGTCTCTTCAGGAAATGACGTCACCGCAAACTGAAGCTCATCTGCATTGTTGTTGTGCTTGTTGCTGTTTTTGTTGTTTTTGTTGTTTCGTCCACGTGATCGTGACGTCACTTCCATTTGCCAACTCGCTCTACTGATCATGTCGTGGCGCGCCTGGCTGGGTGTATGGCGATGATGATGGTGGTGATGATGATAGATGAATGAGAAAGTGAGGATGATGATGATGATGATGATGATAGTATTGACGATAATGATGATGAAATCCAGTGTGATAGAGTGATGTGGAAGGCGACAATTGTTAATGATGATCCAACGATTATTATAGGTTTAGTGTAAAACGTGAATACAATGGAAATGATAATAACAAAAAACCATGAAGATAAACAATGATGATGACGACGATGGTGATTATGCTAGAGACAAAAGTGATGGAGAAAAAAATGATGATAAGTGAATTTAAATTTATGGCCGAAACAAGGGAGGGCTGTTTTCTTAATAGTTCCATTCTGTCTGCACACTTTTTACTTGAAAAAGTCAATAGCAATGTATTACCATCATCATCATCATCGTTATCACCCCCATCTTCTTCATTCTCATCTTTTCATCTCCATCTTCTTCATCATCATCTTCTTCATCCTCATCTTCTTCATCCTTATCTTCTTCATCCTCATCTTTTTCATCCCCATCATCTTCATCATCATCTTAATCATCAGCCTAGTTGCGTCATCAATGCCAATAATAATCATTTTTTTATGTTTTTTTTAATCACTTAAACTTTTAAAATCGATATTTTTATTATTGTAGAGGTTGAAATTGTCTTCATCATGATGATAACGTTTATCATTATCATCATTGTTCACCGCCTTATAATCATCATCACGTTACTATCATTAATACAATGTAGTTTCGAAACGTACATAAGATGAAAATAATGGCTAAACAACGCTTCATTGAATTTGTTTCTAATTGTATATTTTTGTGTGTGTCTTGTTTGTATTTTTATGTGTATAACCGGTTTTAAAATATTTTGCATATATTTTTTGTATTCTTTTAGTATATTTGTTTTGATGCTATAATCTATTTTTGCATCTTTGTTTGTATGTATATGTTTGTATCTCTGTGTATATACGTTACGTTACGATACTTACAAATTTACAGTTGTGTATCTATTGATTGTAACTGTTTGCATGTTTGTCTTTTAGTATATCTATTTGTATGTTTGTTTGTATCCCTGTTACTTAAATATATTTGTATCCTGGTTCGATGTGCCACCCTACCATTGTTTAGTTAATTAACTACTTTTTCATTAACATTCGTTCTATAAATCTCTGAGCAATTTAATTCTTCATCCATGTCTGACTCCTTCTAAAAAATAGAAACCATGAGCCATCGTCTGCCTGAGTGTTTGTTTATATTGCAAAAAAATCTTATTTCTCGCAATTGTTTGCGTATGCTTTTTGGCGTCTTGCTCTTGGCTGTATGGTTTGAATTTTTTTTATAGGCGTTTGTTTGTATGCATTCTTATAATTACGTTTGTTTTTATGCGTCTTAAACGTAAAAGATTATCTTAATATACACGCACATACACGCATATACATGCACACACACATACAAACAAACAAACAAGCATATACACTCGCGCGCACACATATACACACACTTATAAATACACGCATAATAAATGCACACATGTACAATGTACATACATTTATTATATGCATGGGCTTAATTTAAAACGCATTTAAACTGCTTTCATATAAAATTTAATACGCATTTAAACATCCGTGAGTACATATGTACTAACACGCAAGGACATGCGTACACATTCCCCATATTTGTAAGTTTTATTATTTGGAGGCTTAAATTTGATGACCAACCACACCACCATATTTTATGTATCGTATTCATTCACTTTTATTGCATTGTCCTCCACGTTCACTCAAGGTTTATTCAACACTTCTTTCCTTTCCTTCACTCTCTCTCTTTTTCTTTCTTTATTTTCTCTCTCTCTCTTTCTCTCTCCTACCGTCTTTTTATCATCACTATCTTCTTATTTTCTTTTTTTGCTTTGTCTGTCTTTTTTGTTAACTTACATCGAACTCCTTCTACAGTTCTACGGTACCCTTTTTCTTTTTTCCGTCAATCTCTCAAATTTTATTTTTTCATTTACTCATTTTTTTCATCTATTTTTTTTTTCTCTCTCTCTCTCTTATTTATTCATCTGCACACATTTTCTCTCATATCTCTCTCTCCTTCTATCTCTCCTCTACATTACGACTAAAACCACATTATATGTAGTAGTGATGAATACTTGAACTACAGGAAACATACTTATTAGTATTTATTTATAAGATGTAAGTATTCTTGCTCCGTGTGAACGTATATTTAACCAGGCTTTCAAAAATAGTTGTTAGTTAATGTTAGTTCTGTTGAAATTGATGTCAATGAATGTTAATGTCATATATGTTATTGTTATCTACAATAATACAATAATGACAGTAATAAAAATTACATTACATTGCAACCACAATAGAAGTAGCACCTATCGATAAGTTTGTTTTTGAAGCAGTTCAAAACGCCGGCACATCACAGCTTCCCAAGTAAATCAAGAGACATTAAAGAACAAAAAAAGTAAAAAAACCTCTTCCGGTCAGAAAAGATTGCATGACCTTTGAACTTTCATCCTTAATAGATATTATTGAATTTTTTCGCCTTCCTTTTATTGCAAGATCGGCTGGCTGGGTTGTCGTTTGTTTGCTTGCTTATTTAATTCATAGTTTTTCATATTTTTTGCCATATTTTGATATTTATTTATGTTTATTTAGATGTTTATTTATGTTTAATAAAAGTTCGTTAAGCAATTTTTTGGAGATTTTGAACCAATTGTTCAGGATTGGGTTATTAATTTCATGAATATTGTTGGTCAATCAATCCAACAATTGATAAATTAAAAAATGTAATCAGCCACCTTGCTAATACGAAATAGTTGTAGCATGTTTTTGGTTTCAAAAAGTATTTATCTTACTGATTGACTGATTTAATTTGTCATCAAATCAACCCACTCACTATTCAACTCGCCATTCACAAGTGAAACAGCAAGCTAATATTTTAACATGTGACAGAATATAATTGCGTTATTACCATCGATCAACGAATAATGACTGATTAACGATTAATGCATCCCAATCGATCGAGAGATACTAATAGGATGACAATCACACATCAATCAACCGACCTGCTGACGAGACACTTGCAACACTTTCCAAACGCTCCAACGAATCCGGCCCTGAACTTCTTGCTCATGAAACAATACGTGATGGGATTGCAGCAACTGCTGATGAATGCCAGCAGATGGATGAGATTCATGACGACGGGGCTTGGGCGAGAGATGGTCTGCGGCGAGATGATCGTCCACGTCTCCATGATGTAGAGCGGTGCCCAGCAGATGAAAAATTCCGATACGACAATGAACAACATCAACACGCTCTTGCGTCGTGATCTGTTGATGCTGTTTGAGGTGTTTGTTGTAAGAGATGTTGGTGCTTTCGCAGCTGCTGTTGTTGTTGTTGTTGCTGCTGCTGTTGCCAGATCGTTGTCTGTGTTAGTTCTGCGAGAGATGAATGAGTAGGATTTAAATTTTTGAGGCTGTTGGAATGTTTTTTTACGCCAGGATTGAAATTTTTCGCTTTTGTTGTGATTTTTGAAAAAGTTGTTGTTTCTGCTGTTGTTGTTGTTCCTTACGCTGCTATTGCAATTTTTCTGTTTGTTATTTGTGACGTTGACGTTGTTGTCGGTGTTGTTGTTTTTGTTGTAGCAATAGCGCTTCAGAAATGTTAAAGAATTGCGTTTGTCGTCTTCATGAATGTTTGGTAGATCGGACACGATGACACTTTTGTTCGTTTTCAAGCAGATTGATAGCGGGAGTTTTTGTTGTTTAAGACTTGACCTGATCTCGTTCGTTGCGGTTGTTGTCGTTGCTGCTGCTGCTGTTTGTGGTAGTGCTGCTTTTCTGTCATAATAATTGTATTCGGCGTTGTAGTTGTTGTTGGTCAGTTGTTTACAGTTTTGTTCAATATCATGTTCTAGATGTTGTTGCTGAGTAATATTTTGGCATTGATGTTTAGTGGAATTGTTGTTCCTTCTCAGATTGAATTTCTTCTTTTCAGACAACTGTACCATGTTGACTGGAAAATAAAAAAAAATATCATTCATACCGTGCCCAGCTCTCAAAAGATGTTATAAATCTTTAAAAATGCTATTTCTTTTTGAGATAATTTATTTACTCTGCTGCAAGTCAATGACTCTGCGAGCGATCATTTGTCTCAATCCTCATTCATACCGTAAATACAATTTTTAAATAACTTTCTTTGCGCCCATTAATTTTTAGGTTTATAAGACTTTTTTGTTCTTTAAATTTATAAACAAAAATTCACGAATTGTTCATTTTTGTTAATTTTTAGTTTGTTTTTCATCGGTCAACTATTTATTAGCTCACCTCTCAAATATCATCTATCAATATATCCATTTTTTAATACATTCATATATCTATCTATCCCTCCATCCAGCCAGCCATCCATCCATCCGTCCATCCATCCATCCATCCATCCATCCATCCATCCATCCATCCATCCATCCATCCATCCATCCATCCATCCATCCATCCATCCATCCATCCATCCATCCATCCATCCATCCATCCATCCATCCATCCATCCATCCATCCATCCATCCATCCATCTAACCTTGTTTGACACTCATCCCACAGAACAGTGTAGCAGCAATGCACCCATACGCCACAAACATGACAACAAGCGGAAGGATGAAAAGGAGGAAAAGAAGGATGATGACGTAAGCGATCTCTAAATTCTTATTGGTCCACATCTCAACGCACTGATTAAAAGTGGATTTAAATTAAAAAAAAGTTTAACAATGGTTTTAATTAACGGTATGAATGAAGTGAGATTGAAAAATTCTTTTTCATCGTCATCATTTTTGTCATCATCATAATCACCAATCACATCTCTTCATCTTCATCACTTCTTGTTTTTTTGATTTTAATTCTAACTAACATCATAATAACAATTTTCATCATCATTAACCCTCTACACTTCATCACTATCCCACTGAACATCACCATTATTTTTCTTTACCTCATTATCATACCTCATCATTTCACCATCACTATCTTACCTTTTTAGCATTCCTGAGTGAAACAATCTGGTGGCTGACACCTGTCGGAATTGTGATGAGTATGGCGCCCAGCCAAATTAAGACCAGCATCTTGTAACAGTGCCTTCTCGTCTGCCATTTTCTCGACTTGAGGGGCTGACAAATTGCCCAGAATCTTTCCAAAGAGATGGTGACGTGTGTAAAGACGCACACTCCTACTACTAAGCCTGTTGTGGTAGTAGAAGTAGTAGTAGTAGTAGTTGTAGTAGGTGTGGTGGTGGTGTTTTTGGCGATTGTGTGGTGATGTTTGTGATGATCATATTTGCGTTAGTGATGGTTGTGATGGTTGCAATGATATCTGTTGAAATAACAAGGAAGGATGTAGACGATGGTTGTAAAAATGGCAAAAAAAACTTATCTAATTATGATAATGAAATAAAAAGCAACTGCTGTGATGCGTTAGGGTTAATTTCTATTGTTAGCATCTGAGATGAGGGTGGTCATTATTAATGTGCCGTTGGTTTCATCCTTCTTTGTGAGCTCCTTTCTTGCTCATTCACATTTTTATAAACATTTCTCTGTTTTTCGTTTCTATTATTGTTGTTACTGGTGTTGTTTATACTCTTGCTATTGAGTGTTTTTTATGATAGCCTCATAAACTAGAGTCATCATTAGCATCATCATCATCGTCATCGTCGTCGTCGTCATCATCATCTTTATCTTCTTCGACTTCTTATCGATTTCTTCACCTAAGTCTAAATTATTGATTTATATTGCATAGATAAAAAAAGTCTGAGTTAGAGCCTATCCCGCTTGAACAAATATTGTTGTGTATGTATGTTGTTTGTTTGTATGTTTTGGGCGATTGGGTGACTTGTATGTTTTCTGTCATTATATATAAATATATATATTTATGTGTGTATGTGCGTGTGCGCGTGTGCGCGTGTGCGTGCGAGTGTGTTTACGGTTTTGTGTATGTGTATGCATGTGAATGTAATAATAATATAGTATTTTATGTAAAGCAAGTTAATGTATATATAATAATATTGCTTGCATGCGAATGAAATATGGAGCATTATTGAAAAAGACATTGACGATGAATGCATCGATTTAAAAAGCCAACAACAACCAAACAACAACATAGAAACATTAACGCAACATACTACATGGTCAGATGCATTCGAACAGTCATACAGACATGATGTACCAATTCGTTTTGGCATATGCATAGTCAAGTAAAATATGATGATATTTTATATTAATCATTATTCATATTTTGGCAAAGCATATTAAATAATACACACTTACAATAATGTGAACATGTACAAAAATTTACACACATCAACACACAAATTATACAACTCATTAAAAACCATACGAACATATGCATATCTTGGCGTCGTGATAGCTTAAAAGCCCTTAGTCCTAATTCGCACTGACCGGCTTCAAATACAAAAGGTTCTCTATTCTCATGGTATCATGCGTGTTTTTGTATGTATTTTGTAACACACACACACAGAACAATACACACACACACACAACAACAACTCACACACACACACAACAACAACTCACAAACACACACACACATATGTAACAACCACTTACAATAAGAACAAGGCACACAAAATATATACAAATGGTCTCATAATGGATTTCAAGATGGAGAAGTAGAAGAACTATTTGCTTGAAGTGACGAAACAATTTTATTAAATATTTTTCTCATGAACAGCACATGTTTCATTCTGGAAAGTTCTCTTTGAAACTCTCCGTGATGCTGAAATGTTCTCCAACATTTACTTGTTCTTCACTTCATCAGGCTGACTAGAATGCATGGTCGGTGGTTGGTGGTTTCGAATGGTGAGGATGGATCGTGTATGAAATAAATAGGTTATGTTTTTGTTAGCACAGACAAGCGAAATAGAAACAGAAACAACAAACATTGAGACGCCAATAAAACCAAAGTCGACACATTATATCCGTCAAGAATTCATTCGAAGAAGTGTTGTTTATCAACGCGGCTCTAACAAACACGACTCTTTTTTCTTCTTCAAACTTTAACTTTTTATATATCTACATTTAATCATTTAAATATTTAGTCATAAACACTCAAAACTCCTACACACATTTATGTACGCTCACATAGTCCGCCCTGAATAGTTGAAATATTATGGCTCAGATAGGATTTGAATTTGAACCAGCACAAAACAACAACGCCAAAACATGCACTCATAACGGTTGAGCTAACCCGATGAAAACAATGTTGAGTCATCAAATTTTTATGTGTGGTTAACATACCTATGTCATTTCATCGTAACCATAATCGATATTGTTGTTTTTTATATTACGTAGCACACATTAGTGACGTCATTGCGAAAACTATTATTATTATCATATTATCATTATCATCATCATCATCGACATCACCATCAGCATCATCATCGTCATCGACGTCATCATTACCATCACTATTCCTGACATCATCATCTTTCACCATCATCGTCACTCCCCGCTCCAAATATTTAATCTGCATGCGTTCGTAAATAAGCTACGGTATCTACGTCTGAATGAACACATGCAGATATACACACATACATAAAAAGGTAACGGCAAACAAATAATTTTATATGTATGAATGTATGTATGTATGTATGTATGTATGTATGTATGTATGTATGTATCATAAGTAGGTACCAGCTTGTTTTAATGAATGCTATCATAAAAATTTATTGAAAAAGTATGCTGTAACCAAACAACGCCACAACAAACAAGCAAATGCGTGTATGAAAGAGAAAATGATGTTTGTTTGTTTGGTTGTGTATCTAGTCAGTATGTACGTGTGTCAGCTTGTTTGTTTGCATGTGCGAAGCATAAGTGTGTACGTGTATCTATGTATTTGTTTGTTTGTTTGTGCGTGCATAAGTTTATTAGCTCGCCAAAATATGCATTCTTGATTAGAAATGTTTATGTGTAAAAATCTCATTGTAAAACAAATAGATTAAGCGTACCGTACATACTTACCACATACGTACATAAATACCTACATACATACATACCCATATATACGTGCATACATTTATACATATGCACATTCATACACACAAATGAATTCATATAAATCAACATGGGCGGACACATAGCAAATAAATATTGTTCGGAAAGTATGTGTGTGTGTATGCTGCCCTGCACATTTGTTTGTTTGTGTATTTGTATGTTTGTTTGTTTGTATATTTGTTTGTTTGTTTGTATATTTGTTTTCAAGTTTTAACACAGTTGCGTTGAAAAAACAACTACAAGCCAACAACAGCAATGCTTATTAATCATTCAACGTGTCAACTTAAGCAACAACAATCCATTATTATCATTTTACTTCCGGTTAGTTCGCGATCTTAGACAACACTGTTATCATCATTATCTCCGTCATTACCATCCATTATCAACATTATCATTATTATCTGTCATTATCATCATCATCTTCATCATCGTCGTCATCGTCCTCACCATCAGCTTCCTCTGCATAACTATCATCCGTCATCATGGAGTCGATGACGGAATGATGAAGATGGTAATGAGGATGACAAAATCATGGTGACTGCAGAGTCGTTACTGATTGGAATGCTGCATTATCTCGGTATTTGCAATGCATTAAATGCTTCTTCTTTATTATCTCCCTCCATCTTTGTCTCTCTTTCATTTTTACCTCAGTTTTAATTTTTCTCAATTACTCTCTCTCTCTCTCTTTCTTTCTCTTTTTTTTCGTTTTCTCTTTTTGTTTTTTTGCTGATCCATATTCTCCTGTTTAGGGTTCTGTTTGTCTCTATCTGTTCTGTATTTCTGTTATCTTCCCCTTCCCTTTCCTCTTTCTCTCTCTCTCTCTCTCTCTCTATTTTTCTCTCTTATCTCTTTCCTTGCTCTTTATTTTTTCAATTTTCTTTTTCTTCTTACTTCTAACTCTTTTTTGTTATCTTCTTTCTATCGTTTTAGTTTTTTATTTGTTCGTCCTCTCTATCAGCCCATTTTGTATTTAGATAAGCCTTTGTAATTACCCTTCATTGCGCCAGTGAATGCTTTATAAGGCTTTTTGTACCACATCTTCGTTATCATCGTCATCATCATCATCATCATGGCTAACATCATCATCATCACCATGGTTAACATCATCATCATCATCATCATGGTTTGCTGAATAAACTCATTAATGAATTGAATTATTGAATGGTTAACGTCATCATTATCATCATCATTATTATTGTCCAACAATGATAATTGTTGTTGTCGTCTTCCTTGATCATGTTGTTTAGTTCATGTCATGCTTGTCAATTTCGTTCACAACATGTTTGTATTTTCTAAAAATATTATTTAATCATCGTAAAAGTTGTCGTCGTCATCATTCCATTGTCATCATCGCCATCATTATCGTAATTCAGCAAATCATCATCATTATTGTCATCATCACCAACATCATATGGCCATCATCATCGTCATCATCACCATCATCATATGACCATCATTATCGTCATCATCATATCATCATCATCATCACCTTCATCATATGACCATCATCATCGTCATTATCATCGTCATCACAATCCTCAGTATGTAAACGCCACGATGACTATTTTGAATATCTATTCTTCCGTTATTTCGGCAGAACAATTTCAACATTCAATCGATTCATCTTTAATTTTTTTCATTTCTGTTGCACACACATTCACATGCGCACACACGCACACTTTTCATTTATGTTACATACACACGCACGCACACGCACGAAACACCAAACATAAATATCGACGCACATACTCACACATGCACACACACACACACACACACACACACACACACACACACAGACTGTAACATACACACACTCAAACTGAAACACACAACCACACAAATGCTCATTTGCACACACACGTGCGCACTTACACAAACACACACACACATATGACCATGGTTAAACGATGGAAATGCAATTTTTTATTGACTTTTCATAATAGTGACTTAGTTGAGATATTTTAAAAATTGTATTACAATATCAAAGTAAAATATGAATTTCATTTCCTGTTATTTAACAATTTTATAACAATATAACTATTTATTTCATTTTTACCTAATTTTATTATCTTTTTATTTATTTATATTTTCACTGTTATTATTTTTTTTAAATGAAAAAAAGATTCTTCTTTTGAATATTTTTTCTTACCAAGCCTGTTGGAGATGCTCA